ATTTGTTTAGTCTTGACTTAATTGAGATGTCACTAAACTATAGAAAAAAAATTTCGGAATTTTTCGGGGTCGGATTCGGAATGAACTAGAATTTTCCCTCGGAGTCGGAGTTGGAACCGGAATTAAAAAAAAGAATTTTCCGGAGTCGGAATCGGAATTAAAAAAGAAGCAAAAAACGGAGTGGGAGCTGGAATCGGAATAAAAAGAGTCGACTCCGCAGTTCTCTAACTGTAACCTATCAATGAATTGTTTTTGTTGAGAAAGTTTGGTACAAATCAAACTGAAAAACAATCCGAAAACAAAAGCCAACAGAATGGAAAATCAGCGATCAGTGAGAGAAGTAGACTTTTCACTAAGCCAAAACATTCATGAATTTTATTTGAATTCGAAAGGCACAATTTCAAAAAATAGAAAAACTACTGAATCAATGATCAAGTTTAACTCTTCTTTCTAAGTTCGAGTTTCATCGTTTCAGTATTTCCAGGAAAGATTTCACGAACATCTTCAATTTTATAATCCATTTCGACTTGTGTTTCTTGATCAGCAAGAGCAAATAATTCAAATTGAGACAAATCGCTTTTTAAAAAGTTCAATTTTAACAAAGCTTCTTCAGTCAACTCTAATGCCAAAGTTTCCTCAGTGCATGGAATCAAAACTTCCACTTGTTCAAACTTAATTGAGGCTTTTAAAGGGGAAATGCAAATCAATTCTAATTTAACTTCATTTGGAACAGTTTCAAGATCATCCAAACACAGTTCATCATCTGATAATTCTGTTCCATTGTACATCAGTTGATAAAATTTTGGATTCAAATGCATGAGTTGACATGCGATCGAGCACAAACGATTGAATTGTGTTTGAGATGAACTACGATAGTTGATAGTTTGTTTGTCGATACTGTTTTCAACGATAAAATGTATTGGTAGCTCTTCATTGCTCACATCGAATTCAATCGGTGATGTTGATACGAAGACTGATAATGAAGTTTCCATCGATGGAAGAAAATCCTTTCCAAACAGAAGATATTCGTTTTGATTGTTTATGTTATTTGCTTTGTAAACATCAGCGATGGTGGCAGATGATGCAAAATCTTGTTTGCTGGTCATTTCACCGCCATCGATCGAAATTAATTGATTTTCAGACGATCTTCGAATATGAACCGAACAAAATTGATCTTCTTTCATCAACAGAAATCTTGTTTCATTCACATCAGACAATAGTTGATGAAAATCAATGATTTTCTTCGTATTATATGACGCTAGATATTTGTAACCACGTTCAGATCCTTTAGAAATTCGAAATAATTCTTCGATCGTCACTTTTCTGTTGAATAGAAGAACTTCTTCAGGTTTCTCATTGTTGTTTAAAGTTAAAATTTGAATGAGAAGAGCAATACGAAATTCCACGACTTGTTGATCATCAACAGAAAATTCTCCGATCGATTTATGTGTATCTTCGTTTGACAGTCTTTGATCGGGATTCTCTCCTATAGCTAAAACACAATCACGAAGAGAATTGGCATTTAAATTCAATTTTGGTAAAAGATTTTGGTTGTTCAACAGTTGATTGATTTTCGTTGCTTTTAACACACAAATTTTTTCGAATTGATTTTCATAAGAAATTTTTACATTCATTGTTGAATCTCGACTAATCACATCGATTGTAATCGGTTCGACTGTCGAGGAAATTTTATCTGTTTCATCGACAATGCTGTTCTGTTCCTTAAGAAAATAACTGAAATATCCTTTGCCAAGATTTTTCGCTACAGGTTGTTCTCGAAACCAATTATCCAAATTCTGCCATACTGTATTTGGGTGAAGTAAAATTATTTTCTCTTCGTCTAAAACGAGAAAGATTTCATTCGAAAATTTGTCGTAGAGAATCTTTATTTACCTTGAGCAGTTCGATAGTGAATTTCGTTGAACGAAGTCGATCGATTTTCTTCAGTGAGAATTAGACGAACTTTTCTCTTCTCTTGATCATTAACTGAAAAAAGATCTCCAATAATTCCGTCATGAATCAATCGTTTATTTTCATCGAAGAAACAGATAACATTCTCTGTATTTAGATTTAAACAGAGTTTGGGATTTTTCAACGTTCAACTGAAAATATTGATCATTGGACATTCCGATTTGGTGAAATAATCAACCGATTTTTCTTCATATTCAACTTTAACTTGTATTAAAGATGTTCTTTGAAGAATCGAATATTCCAATGGAAAATCGGGTGGAAGTGATGGATTATCGTCCTTCAGATCGAGACCAATGTGATATTTATCGACTGGTATCAATGTTTCGCATGAATAACCTTTATCTTTGAATATTTTTTGGAATTGTTCAAAAAGTTTTTCCTTTTTCAACAGATGAGAACTCTTTTTTTCATCTGGATGAATGATACTGACGGATTTGGCCTTTTTCTCTTCTTCACCGTCTGGAGTTTTCAATTGATTTAATAGATCAAACCAAGGTGATGATTCGAATGGAAGAGATTTAAGTTGCATCGTATACAAAGCTGGACAATCAATTTTTTCATCGTTGATGATCTCATCTTGTTTCATTTGTTGATTATCAATTGTTGTTTTCATTGGTTTTTGATCATCTTGATCAAGTAAATGATTAACAGAATCCCAATGATAATTGCCATTCATCGTTGTTGGTGGAAGATTGAATCCATCTCCTCCAATCAGATTATTGACTAATTCATCTTGTGAATTATCTTCTTTGCTGTTCAAATAATTAAGAAATGTATTCTTCGATTCAGTTGGATTTTGATTTTCATCGATTTCTTCTACCCATAGAATATTTTGTTTTTCTTGAATATTAACCAATTTCTCTTGAAGAATCGATCGACACCGAATCAAATGAATACTTAATGAAATATAATTTTCACAACGAATTTCAGAAGGGATCCATGATAAAATTGGATTGTCTATCGCCATATATTCACATGTTTTTGGTAATGATTGTGTCGATTGCTCAAATAGAGAAACTTCAATCCCACGTAAGTCATTAAGAAATTCACTTATCATGTGAATTGTTGATTTTAACTTCTCAACATGATCATTATATTCTATGTCAATTAAATTGACTTTGATCGCTTGTTTTAATTTTTCATTTAATTGATCATTGATTGGAGTTCGTAATAGATGAGGAACATCAGTAAACAAATATTGAAAATCATTAATGGCATTAGAATACAATTCTTGAATATGATTCAAATAACATAATTGAAAATTTCGTATTTCATAGAGTTCACATTGTTCTCGAATAGTTTGATCAGCGTGAATATCTAAAAATTCATTGAGACTTAAATGTGAAAGATTTTGATCATTGGATTTAATTAATAACATTATTTGTTGAAGAAGTTTATAACCATTGGTAAGTTTATCGACTAACATATCTTTTAGATGATTCCATTCAGTTTCTAATTTATCTCGATCAATTTCTTTCGAATAATTTTCATCAAGTTCAATCATTTCAAATTTGTTGTTCGTTTGATTCTTTCGTCTATAACATTGATATTTCTGAACGATATGACGAAAATTGATTCGACATAATAACAAATGTGTTCGAATGATAAAAGATTGAATATAACGAAAATCGAATTTCAACAAATTTTCTTTGATTTCAAAGAAATTTTCTGTATCAATAGTTAAACTAGCACGAGATAATTTCGATAACCATAAAACATCATTTGCTGTAAGTGTGATAACACCTGTATTATCACGAGCGATTTGTAAAATTGAAACATCTTTCGAAACTATATCATAAACTAAACTCTTGAGAACAGTCATACGATCATTAGGATCATTCTTCAATTCTTTTTCTAACAAATCCAATAGGCCATTGTGATAATCAGCAAGAACACTGAAATCAAATGAAGAGAAAGAAATCAAATAACCATTTTCGACTTCTGTTATTATTTACCTTAGAATTCTCATGACAATATCACCTTCGTCATGATTTTCATTCGTTACTAAATAATGAATTGGTGTTTCAATTGAAACCTTATTAAAGCGTTGAGTTTCATCACAAGCTCCTGGTTGAATCAATCCATCAGCAAATGTATGATATAAATTGATAGCTTTTAGTCCATTATCAATGATCGAATGATGTTGTGTACGAAGACGCTGATCGACAATATTTGAATTTTGTTCAGCACGTTTTGATAAATCTTTCAACGTTATTTGATAGAATTCTTCTCGTTCAATCAAAAAACTGTAAGTTTGATGTAGAAGAAGATAAAAGTGACTTAAATCATAAATCGTTCGAGTCATTTCGAGAAAACCAGTAGAACTTAGAATACGTCGTAAAATATTTAATGATAACGAGAAATTGTTTGGATTATGAAGTTCAGTTTTGAAATGTTCATAATTAACAACAATTGGGATTTGATCGATATAGACTTGTAAGTTTACTTGAATCTCTGTTTGTAAACTTAATTGATTGATTTGAGCTTTGTAATCGGGTAATTTTTGAAGAATAAAATAGAAGACGTGTTGTTGATATTGGCTTTCAGCAGTGAATTGATCATCATATGTTGTATAAACAGGTTTAATCCACTGTTGTTGACGAAGAGTTAAATATGCCATTTTCTCTGAACAACGATTAATCAATATACATGTATCATCTTGGTTGAAACGCGTGCAAAGAAAATGATAAGTCGATAAAAGACGAGCACAAACAAAATGGCACACTTTTGTTCGCTCCAGGTTGCCCTCCATTCGACACTCATTCGACATGGCACCAACGGCGTGTTTTGCTAAGACAGGCCCATGCAAATTTCTCACTGAATCTTCGTATAATAATAAATGCCACGCCTTAAAAAGAAGATGATAAATTCAAATCGAAACGAATCAATCAGTTTACCATGGCTCCGAAAGTTGAAAAATACGTCACATAGATTCCTGGTACATTCAATGGACTCGCTCCTCCTGAAAATTGAAGCAAATCACCCTTTTCATCGATGATGCAGCCGCAATCATAATGAACTCCATGTTCTTCAATTGGTGCATGAGCCGTTGTACCAAAACCTAGAAGACTTCTAATGAGTTTTTAATGGCAGATGAACAAAATGTGTTTGATTACTGACCGTGAGTGTGTGCTAAAGTTAATGGTTGAAACGCAAATGTCCAGAGAAAACTTTGTTTCCCACCGAGAAGAATCATCGCCATCAGATTGACTAAACAATGACGAATTCGAAGTTCGTCTTCATTTTGACATTGACGAGTAAAGAAATTATTCAATGTATTTCTTTCATCTTGTTGATTTTTTGGATAACCAATCATTGATTGTTCGGGTTGACTGAGAGCTCGAAAAACGAGTCTTTCTTCTACTGAAAGATCTAAATTTCTTTCAATAATCGGCAACAATGAATCAATCAATGTCAATCGATCTTGACAAAAATATTCGTAGTAAATATTTAATAAAATGATCACTCTGATTTCGTTAGGTTGAAGTTTTGGTGGATTTCCTTGACAATTCAAAGTAATCCAATCTATAAATGGTTTCCAGCGTTGTTCACCATTGTTTTGATTGACACATTGATCAATAATTCTTTTCAATTCTGTGTAAGATTGTGGAAGATGAGGAAAGATTGATTGTTCATCGTGTGATGCTAATGTGAATCCTAGTTGATGACTCATCTGTAATGAAGATTTCTTTGCTGGTATTACTTGTTCATTCTCAAAAAATCGAGATAAAATCACTGACCACTGTTGATTCTGTTGTTGAACATCATCTGATTTAAGCATTTTTAAGAGATGATTCCATGAAAATTTAGAAACGATTATCGAAAGAAAATTTTGAAGAGGCTCACTTAATTTTGTTGCATTGTTTTGAATCGATAGATAATTATTGATCATATACAAAAGAATACGATTGACATCAGGTTGATCTTCAACTGACCGATCGGTTTGACAAAGAAGAAGAGGTGTCAGTTGAACGAGAAAATATTCTTTTATTTGTCGAAAAACAGCCTCGACTGACGGTTGAAGTTGACGAATCTCAATAGTTGGAGCGGTCGATTGTATGATTTTATTGATCAATGTACAATGAGCTACTTCATTAGTCATCAAACGTTTTAAATGAGAAAAGAAAAGATCGAGCAATGTCGATCGAGTATTTCCGTGATTGATCACTGATGGATGATATGGTAAACGATAGTTTTCAAGTGAGTTTCCGTCAGATGCACATCGAATCATTGTTGGAAGAAGAAGAATACGGTCCCATGTATCTTTAATCATTTGATTTCGCTGTACATATTTGAGATAAATATTCGCCAATTCATCAAAAAGAAATTCTTTTATCGTCAATGCCAACGGACAAATTGGTTGATTTAAATATTTAAATAATGAAAATATTTCTTCACTATACGATGTATCAGTTGCTTTTAAAATTGAAATTATCCATTGTTGAACATCGATCATTAACGTTGATTTTGGAAGATTCTTTTCTTCGATATATTCGTTGACGGTTCCAACAATCGATGAATACCTTTTGATATAGGGTGATTTTTGTTGTCCACCATGATAGTTTAGCTCATTCTGTTGAAGAAATTCGAATTGTTGAAGTAATTTGGTCACAAGTTCTTCAGGTTTTGTCAAATTTTCATTCAGAAGAATAAAATGAGCCAAGTTCATAAATTCAATATGAGATTTAATATCGATCAATTGTGTTTGCTGAAGAACTTTACTAGATGGATAATATTTCGATATCATTGTATAACACAAAATCCATGTTTCTTTAGTTTGATCATTGGAACGTATATCAGAAAGATTTTTCCATAGATCATCAAACATTCGTCGAAATAAACATTCACGAACGAGACTTCTTGTTGAATTATCATTATCAAACAATTGATGATAAAATGTTTGAGTTTGATCAAGACGATCCATTATTCGGCATGCTGAATACAAAGAAAATAAATCATTTCGATCGTATTCGAATGATGTGTACACATGAGCCAATCGCCAGATATCTTCATGACGATATTCACCTAATACTCGTTGTTCATTTTCATCGACTAAACATAACCATCGAGAGACGAATTCAATTGATTTTTGACATTTGACACGATCATCAGTGAAATTTTTCTCAACAATCGTACAAAATGTTTGAACTAAATCGTTTGAATATGTTTTCAGAACGGATTTGTTGACAATTTTCATTAAAATCAAATCTTTTTCAATCGCTTTGATCAATTCAAATCGAAATTCTTCGATAGTATGTTCATTTTCATTCGCATTATTCATTTCATCATCATCAGGTACTGCATAGTAATGTTCTTTGAGATCATTTTCAGTGGCTAAATTACGTTTTTGCTCGGCTGTTTTTTCAATGAGTCGCATTTTAATTTCATCCGAATAGGATTTGATTCGTTGATGAAAAAGATGATAGAGTGGTGTTTGAGGAATACATGCGTAATGTGTCACCAATTGAAAAACAGTTTGAGTGTTCGTTGAAAGTAAATCGTTTTCTTGTTCATTTGATGTTGATACATGATCAATTAGATTTAACATAGTATCATACCCATCATTGATGTTTGAAAGTTTCGGTAAAGTTTCTAATCCATAATCATTAACGATGTGTTTGAGAATATTGCATACAAAGTTGTTGAACGAAAGTCGAGTTTGAGATTGAATCGAATCAACAAGACCGTCAAAACGTTTTCCACAAAGAATATCTTTGGAAAGTTGATAGATCAATGTGTAGATTTTTTTTGATGCATTCTTTTTTAACGATAAATAAGTTTGATATTTGTCGACAATTCGTTTTTGTAATTCGCTACATTGTCTAAGAACTTCTTTCAAACATTGGACACGTCGAAATGTACTCGTTTGACGTTGATAAAATTCATAAGCACATCGATTTTCGAATAAATCTCTTGGTAATTGTTGAACAACAATTTGAATTCGAAAACAAAAATCCCAGAGGCAATCGTCAAACAAAACATTGTAATCACAAAGTATCTGATTATCGTTTTGATGTACTCTGTTCTCGTAAGATGAAGTGAGAATTTGTATGAAATTCTTTATATAAAATGAATTGTTTGACAAACATGTATCGAAGAAATGAAAATCCCAACGATCTAGAAATATCGATGGAAATGATGATTGATGATAAATTGTCTGTGGTGGTGAATGTACGAGTAGAAGAAAATATTTGAAATTATATTGCTTTTCTGAATTACATCGATAATCAACTTTGTCAATTAATTGTCGAACGTATGGAATATGTAAACGTTGTTGATTGGTACGGCCGTTGATTACGATTAGCAGCAAATTTTTCTCAGCATTATTTTCATATTTTGTAAACTGTTCTTCTAACTCAGCAGAATTTTCCATGATCGACTACAAGTAAACATACACATTCTCTCAAGAATCATCTACTCTCCTGGAAAAAATAGTAATAATCCGTATTTTAATCCAATTGTTACTATAAGAACTTATTTCAAAACAAATGAGGATATATTCTGAAAGCCCTTGGAGTTCTCTATCACCTTATATGGTTATATTTTAGCTTTCAATTGTATGAGACAAAATAAATCGAAAACAATAAAGGCATCCTCATCTTGAGATTCCCACACATTGAATCATTTTACTGTTGTCAATAATATTTTTGAAATTTTTCTTATCACTTTAGAAATACCTTTTTAAAAAAGCAATTTTATATTCTGATAGAGCTTGAAATTCTCTATCACCCTGTATATTTACTTATTTTCTTATGTTCATTTATTGAAAAAAGAAAATTTGAGTATAATGAAAACATCCTCAATCAACAAGTAGCAAAAATCTACACTTTTTTTGTTACTTTTGTAGTATTAGTTTTGAAATTATTACCCTTATGGGAAAATTTTTTAAAAATCAAATATAGATTTGCATAGAGCTTGGAATTCTCTATCATTCTATATATTTTTATCTTACATTGCATTCATGTACTGTCAGTACATGAATGCAAGGCAAGACAAAAATATATAGAGTGATAGAAAATTTCATGCGCTATCAAATGGTATATTTTCTTTTACATAATTTATTTCTTTGGGATAATAATTAAAAAAACCAGTGAAAAAATGTAGATTTTTGGTACTTGTCGCTTGAGGATGTTTTCATTGTACTCAATTTTTCTTCATTAAATAAAATAAATGAACATAGGAAAATAAGTAAATATACAGGGTGATAGAGAATTTCAAGCTCTATCAGAATATAAAATTGCTTTTTTAAAAAAATATTTCTAAAGTGATAAGAAAAATTTCAAAAATATTATTGATAACAGTAAAATGATTCAATGTGTGGGAATCTTAAGATGAGGGTGCCTTTATTGTTTCGATTTATTTTGTCTCATACAATTGAAAGCTAAAATATAAACAGAATATATCCTCATTTGTTTTGAAATAAGTTCTTATAGTAACAATTGGATTAAAATACGGATTATCACTATTCTTTCCGGGAGAATATGTTAACGATTCTACATACCAGATTGAGAATATCAACTTTGTCACTGAAAAGATTTAAATCATCTTCTTTCAAAGATGAAAATAATTCACGTTTAGTTTGTTGATTGAGACTGGTGATATGAGACGATGTTCGTGTAAATATCATCACTTTAGTTATTGAACGCACTATTTCGTTTGGTCGATCGTCAAAATTTTCCAAATGTAAAACATCCATTGTTGATATTGGTGATGTAGTTAAAGTTCGGAGAAAATTTTCAAGACTGAAATGTTCTTGATTTTCAAAGTAATTCGTACAGATCCAGCGTGATACTTGATCTTCGAACGTTGGTAATTTCAAAATGATGGATTCTGGAGAGATCAATTGCATCAATCTCGATAGAATCGATCGTAAAAGACATTGAAAAGTGTTAGTTAGATTCTGTTCGATCACGGATTTTGATTTTATTGTCAGTTGCGTGTATTGTTGATGAATGTTGAGATAATAACGTTCTTCTTCATCGTTTTTCTCGATCAATCCCAATAAACACGAATAAAGTGTATTCGAACTTAGACCATAGAAGTATTGTTGTCCAATATGTTCGATACATGATTGAGCTTTTTGTTCGACGTTTTCCATCAATTTCTGTTCTTCGATGGAAAGTTTAGTCCATCGAATTTGATAAAAGTCTTTAATTGATAACGAATATTTCTGAAATCGACTAAGAAATGGGGCTGGAATCTCTTTGAATTCATTTCGATTGATATGAACAATACATTGAAAATCTTCATGGACGACAACATCGATAGTTTTTGGTCCAATGGCAACTTTCGACCAGATTTTTCTGTTATCACCCGTGGCCATGATCGAGAAATTTTGATTGAAAACATCGTAAAGTGAACCATGAATACGTCCAGTATTGATCATTAGAATAGTTTTGCCTGTTTCCATACATAATTTGATCGTTGAAAGGATCTCGACGTTTCGTAATTCATTGTTGACATCGTCTGGAAAATCGGACATTCGAAAAACAACTATTTTATTCGGATCAAGATCAAGAACGTCACTCTGCGCCAATAGACGTACAGCACTTTCATCTTCCGATTCATCGATAATTAATTTGTATCGTCCATAGAGTCGACGTCGAACGGAATCCAATTTCATCGATTGATGAAGAATCGTTGGTATGTTTCGACGTTGATTCGGTAATCGAAAATCTGGACATTCTTCTTTGACAGCTTTGAAAAAGATTTGAAGGAGTTCTTCGAATTTTTCCTTTGAAATTCCATTGAAATTTTCTTCCAATGCATGAAGAAGGCTTAGAGGTGTAATACCGTCGACACGTGTTTCCTGTTCATCCGTTGTTGTGGTTAATTCGAAGCGTAATTGACGCAACATGTAAATGAAATCTCGATCATGATAAATTTGTGGAATAAGTTGAGTGCTCAATAAGCGACGGTAACCTTGACAAAGACCATTAATAATCTTTTTCAGACGATCATTGACTCGCTGCTGTTGATTATCGATTTTCAAACCCAAACATCCATAGGCCAGAATGTGTTGATCTTCTCTCGATGGTAAAGATCGATAAATACAGATCATTCGATTGGCATTCGCTGCATCGAACGATTTATTGGCAACAGCAACGAAAGCCACTTTACATTCATCCAAGTAAGGATGTAATACTTTCAAAACCATTTTCTTCTCGTCGGGTAGTGACGCTTCATCCAAGAACACAACCTAAACAAGAACAGTATTGCATGCGTTCGTAGTCATATCTGATTAACTTACGCATCGCGTTTTCATTCGATTCTGTTCGTAGTGTTGTTCACGTTTAATAGCACGATCCAAAATGTATGCGATATCTTCTGATCGAGTGTATTTCGAACCCAAACAAAAGAAAGGATCGATGGCAGGTAACTTTTTGCAAAATGTTGTATTCGATAATTGTGGACCTTGCAGATTCTGCAGAACGATCTGGAATGAGAGTGTTTTCGATTGACCTAAAGGCAAAAAGAAATAGTCAACGTAGAGATGTCACGCAATTTTTGGCGACTTGAGGACATACTGCAATGCAGTAACACATACGTACTACATTCATTCTTTAAAGTTCTATCGAAGATCATATGAAATATTTCACTCACGCATTTTGTACTAACCTGGAGCACCGATGATGCACAAAGGTGTTCTAGTAACAATGCTAACCACAATACCAAAGATATGTTCACGAACCTAAAGACACGATGGGTCAAATAATTGCAAAACGTAGCCAAATGCTTACCGCTTGATTGATCGCAACGCCTTGAGGGATCAGGAAATTGTTTGCATTGACAAAGTTTACCAATTCTCTTTCTATGATATCGACGAAATCTGGAACTTTCCGCGATAGAATACCAGCCAGCATTTCTCGTGATGGAGTTTTCTGATCATTTCGCTGGTCATTATCTTCTTTCGTCGGAAGTCGAAAGTAATAGGTCAAAGCTAATGCCAACGCAATGCAACGTTTTACATCAGGTTCAACCGTTTCATCGTCGAATCTCATCTTCCAAAAGAATTCGATCAGATTGAAACATCGTTGAATTTCTCGTTGAGAAACAGAATTTTTTCCTAGAAACGAAAATACCGAGAGAGAAGTTCGTGTCAAAAAACAGAAATTTTCGGTTTACCGAGAAACTCTTCGCAGAATTCTTGAGCTTTTAAGATACATTCGGTGAGCATTTCTTGAATGTACAAATCAAGAGATGTCAATTGTTGTCCTGGAAGGGAAAATGTAGCGATTTTCTTAGTAATGTAGTCCTTCAATGTATCCGATTCTAATGTGCTGTATGAAATTTTCAGATTTTCCAGGGCTTGTGGTAACTGATGAACAAGGTAATCACTACGATGGACCGCCTTTTCATCATCCTGTTTTACTGACGATGGGTTGATTGCGGCGGTGCAAAAGATATTCGTAGGCAAATTATTTCCATGTAGAGTACCATCCATAAACATTTCTTTGAACAACCCAAGGCATGATGAGGTGTTTACCTCATCGAAGAAGATGACTAATTCAACATCGGGAACTTCATTAGCTAATTGACATATTGGTTTCATAAAATCTTCCAATTGTTCTTCTGTGATACCTGGATGAAGAAGAAGACGATAGAATAATGATTTCGTATTTGTATGCATCAAATATTCATCAAATAACTTGATCGAGTTTAGAGGTGATGCTTTGAGAGTATTCCCATCGAGTAGTTTTCCAAGTTGAGGGCTCATACTCATTAAAGGAAAACTTGTAATATGAAATGTGACGTGTTCGTAAAGTAATTTATTTAATATGTGACATGTTTCCAAATCCGTGTTGTGAGTAATATTGATAATCGTTTTCCAAATAAATCGCAATTTATCGTTATCATATCCATGACTCGAAAGTACAGATTTGATCTCTTTCAAAAACCTATCATCTATTGGCTGGACTGCTTGACCAGGACGAGCTATTTGTTCTATAGCATCTCCCACCTCAAATCCATCATTGTCTTCTGCAGGATTGTTATCGCCGGCATCCTCCTCTTCATCCTGGTTTTGAAATGGAAGATTGATTTCTGGCTGATTAATATGGTCGTTATTTCTAGATAGTTTTGATTGAATTTGCCTGAATATTGCATCGTACAGATGGGGCTTCTTCTCCACTATATCTTCAATCACCGTCTTACGTAACCACACACATATTCGTTCTCGGATACGTGGCGATACTTTCCCATCGAGAGAACCCTTTGCAAGCTTTGCATTCAGTAGCATCGAATAAAATTTTAGCAAAAATGTTTTACCAACACCCGTATGACCTTCAATAATCAAAGGAAGCTTCGTCAATTTTCTTTCATGGACATGAAATAGCTTGTAGGTGAAGTTTTCGGTGAGAATAAACTTCGTTTCGTTCATCACATCGATAAAATCGTCGTATCGAATATCTAGAAGCCAAGATAAACATTTGGCAAAATAATTTTTTCCTTCAAAATCTTTTCGTTTCGCTGGATCCCCCAGCTTGAAAATCTGTTTCAAATTTTGAGACACTCGATCCCAGTCAGTATGCAGCAAATAAAGTGAGAAACCGGGGTCATAAACGAGGAACATTCGAGGATAATCGGTTCCTTGAAAATTCATTTGTGAAAGATTTTTCGCTTCTTCTATCATTTGTCCCATCGCTCTTGTGCCTAAATGTTCATCATTATCGTTGAAACGGTAAAATCCAGAGTCAGTAAAAAATCGAACACGTCGATACAAAAACTTGACAAACGAAAGTTCAGATATTTTATTTCGTTGTAACTCCGGTGCATTCCTTGTCATGCAATCGTTAATCTGACGCCGACATTCTTCTTCATTATTCAACCGAGTGAACTGTAATCCAGTGTCACTTTTCGCACTGGTTTCGACGTAAAGTCGATTGATCGTTCGATCTACATACGCTTTCAGGAATCGCGCCACAAGTTCTTCTTGCTTGCCAATACAGAGTTTGTGATTGTTTTCAGTAACTTCTTCAAAACTATTCGAATTCAATAAAGATAGCAACGGAAGAATTTTATTGAAATTATCGCTAATATTTCGATTGTATTTATCTGTATGAGGAATTTTAATGAAGAATGTCCACTGGTGGTCATTCGGTAATGAAAATGCCAAACCACTATCTGTATCCGTCAATGCACCACAAACAAATAATGAAAAGAATGTGCGATTAAGTTCAACGAATGGAGCATGAATCGAAATGTTGAAATAAACCTTGGGCTCTTCATCATTTTCTGTTGAATCGAATGAGAGCAATGTATTGATTAATGTAGTCGAATTCAATCGATCGTTAATGCTTATAGACAAAGTTTGAGGAGTTTTGTACTGAGTATTAATCCGATGGGTTTTTCCTAAAGAAAGCAAAAGATCATCATTGCTGGCACAAACGAGTTTATTCAACTTACCGATACCAGCCTTTCCGCAGATCACACGTAGTCGTGGCTTGATTAGATTATTACTTTGAAATAGCTCGTCAAGTTTTCTATTGGCCACCATTGAGTTTCGTATTTGTGGCGTTATAAGGTACGGTCGTAATCCTTTCCTTGATGTTAGTTCTCTTGAGAAATAATAAACTTCACCATGTGGTCGATCAGATTTCGTCAATTTGTCCTGTTCATTGAACAAAATTTCTCTAAGTCGATGATGCATCTTGTCAATGTCCATAATCACAAATGTCAGGTGATAGAATGTTTGAATACGAGTGAAGAATAAACGAATATCATCTTCTGTTGCACGAGAACACCAAAGGATTTGAAACGATGCTAGTAATCGGTGACTGAGAATATTGACAAGAATTGAAAATGTTTCCATATCAAGATCATGATCGACTGGATTTGGTTCAACTGATTGATCTTTATGAGTCAATGTAACTAGATACTGCTGATTGTCATTGACTGTTGTTCTCTCGATAAATAATTCTTTTCCATCATTAAGAAGTTCTTTCAAAAATGCAGATAATTTCTTCAAGCATGACTCACCACTGGATCTATTCGGTATTTGATGTTTGGTATATAATCGTTGGATATTCTCAACCGATAGATCACAAGTAAACAAACGCAATGAACGTAAATAGTGCCTCAATGATTTAATCGTTAATTCAAGTTCTCTATTATCATTGAAATTCTTGTCGCTTTTGAAATGTAACTTTTTCAGGAAATGCCATTTCGTTCGATTATCTGGGGTTGATTTGGTCAACAGAATGATCAATATCATCACTTGACGATTGGAGAACAATTGTAATAGACGTGTCAACTTTCGATATTCTTCCAAATGTTCCAACCAAAGTTTGTGGTTGATTACTATTTGCTGATGGATCAAATGAAGTTGATCTGTTTGTCTTTCAGCGAGTCTTTTCAAAATGTCGGTCTCTTCATTTTCATTATCTTTCACTCGAGATAGAATTCGACTAATTTCACCTGCACGATCAGACAATTGAAATGTTTCTTCTTTCAATTGATAATCTGGATGACCAGCCATTTCCAATTGAATCATCGTTGAATAGATATTGTTGACCGTGCTCAATAGTTTCAGTTGTTCATTTAATAAAATTTTTTTCGATTTCATTGCTTCAGAAAGATCCACATTACAAAATGTCAGCTGAAGTTTATGGTCATCAACTTCAGATCTAGTCAAGATAAATTTAATTTTCTCTGGCTCTGTTGGCTGTAGAAATTCATCATTTTCGTCGATTGGATTTTCAGGATCTTCCTTGATCAAGGTTTGAGTTTTGTTGATTGAATACTCGATCTCAAATTCTGATTCTTCGTTGATCAATCGTCTTAATTGAATATGAACAAAGCCACTGCGATAGAGATGTTCCATAGTTATCAAAGCGTTATCTAGCACGTTCGTTTCTTCAGCCGATAGCCACATATTGACAAGTTGAATGTTATCGTTAACAACTGAAAACAATAAAAAACAAAGAGAAGATGATGACGACATTTCTTCTAGATGAATTCCTTACTTTGCATGTGTGTCACTGGAGTATCTTCAAAGTAAGGTAACTTGGCTACACTGTCAACGAAATCTTCAAGAGTTCTTGATTTCATTGTGAAAGGTTCACAAAGTCCGTAGATGATGATCCACGAATTGAGAATCATGTTGTTTCTTTCTTGAAGTTGAAATTGTGTTGTTAAATTATCTCTTAGTTCTTGAAATAGACGTCGTCCATGAGTTGTGTATAACTCGGCTTTTTTCATCATTAACATTCGGACATTCGGATGCTGCTTTGATCAGTTGTAAATGTTGATTGGTTAATTTTCGAAATCGTTGCTTGAGATTTCGATACCTTTCAGTAATCTCTCTTAGCGAACAGTTTTCATCACTTAACTGTATGATTGAATTAATCGTTTCATCGGGATTTTCATTTGAAATAATGTTGAATCGCTGTACACAAGTGACAATAATATTGATGTAACTGTAATATTGATAAATCTGCAACCATTCACAGACTTGTTCGATTTCTTGTTCTGTAGCTTCAGCGTTGATTGTCGGTTCTTTTTGGCTATTGGCATTGGCTATCAAACGATAGGAAAATAACTTTTTTACTTCATCACGAACATTGATATTCTTGTTGCAAAAAATAGCCTTCAAATCGACCATATCCTTCAGTTTCATTCGTCCATTCAAAAGACTATCGATAAAGTGAAAAGCTCGCTCCAAAACTGTAGCCACATCTATTTCAGTAGCAGTGTGATCGTTTCCACCGCAAGATGACGAGTATATCATATTGAAAATTCCCTCAAAAAGATGAGATTTCGATAATGAAGCCTGTTTAACACGAAACCAAACCACTCGATCAACTTGTCCCTTTTCGTTATTCACTTCTATTGTTAATATTCCACTGCTTAAAGTTTCATATTCACCTTCGATTGTATATCTCTCCACACTAACTTTATTACCCAAGGACAGCACTTCCATTTTTCCATGACTATCATCTGGAGTAAATGTGACTTGTACAGTAATTTCTAATCGTTCACTGGCGATAAACCATTGAATGCGTTGGCGCTCTTGAACTTTAATATCACGGAACGAGGTTTTCTTAGCCATAATTTTGAAGAAATTATCTGGGTGAGACCGTTTTACTTGTTCAATATATTTCGACGATGTATGTTCTTGATTGATTGTTGCCGGTTTGAGAACTTGAAATGGAATTAAACAATTCATCATGCTGCAAAGTCTTCGAAGTTCCTTGAATGGTTTAGCAAGTGCAAAAGTCTTTTGAACAAACGTTTTCATTTCTATAACTGTTATTTTTGACTTATCTCTCGCTCGATGTAAATCTGCGTACAATGATATTGCATTCTGGATTTGAAACCCTTTCAGCCAATGGACAACATGAATGAGAACTGCTGTCATTTCATCATACCATTTAATCCAGTTATTGGCCTGATCGAGGAAGTGATGATAGTAGTCAACATGAGACTTATTGATGTTTATGTTTATGTCGCTTGGTGCTGGCTGTAGCAAAGATATTAAATTTGCTGGAGCTGTAGGAAATTTGAAGATCTGTGGATTCGCCGAGTCTATAATTGACTTTATATCGTAACTTGGAACAAAGCAATCAGCGATCGACTCTTTCGACGGATCAACATACACCGGACAACTTTCTAAGAAAACAAATGCATTCATTATGTGTCACATCGTTTTCTTAAGTTTACCTTGTAGTTTTAGAACATTGCTGATCGATCGTTCTACTTGCTGAATGAAACGAGCCATTTCTTCACGAACAGGAGTTCCATCATTTTGTTTTCGCAATGAAAGAATAAAATCCATAATATTTTCAATCTTTGGAAGTGACAAAATCGATTTAGAATATCGTGAAATCACGTGACTGAATAGCTGATTGATAAAAATAATGGTAAATACGTCATTTTCGTCATATCGATCATGTTTAACGCTTTTCATCCATTGATCCAGTTTCACTAGGACTTCTTTGGTATTATCGAATGCTGGCTTCATAAAACTCAAATTAAGGATTCGTTCCCATGTGTAGATAGTCCATTGATTTTTCGCACTCTTTTCACATAGATCTCGATAAAAATTGCAGTCTAATAGATCCACGAAGTCTTGAGAATTATTTAGTAGCAGAGAGGCTTGGATCCAATGGTCATGGATAACATCTTTCGGATCAACAGAATCTAGAATTTGTTTATCGAGTTCGTTCATTCTGCGAACTAAATTTTTCAGTTTTTCTTTTGAATTGCCATAATTTTTATCGCCGCAGAACAGCATATTTTGAATAATCAATGAGAAAGAAGGTTCTTTAGTTGCATCCTTTATTGATGATGCGTATCGGATAAGAATTTTCAATAGTTTTTCGCAATCTTGTTCATAGGCTTGATATCGTTTATCTGTCAGCTGTCGTATAATGAAAGAGTTGAAAATAGCCATATAGACTTTTCCAAAGAGAAAACGTTTCTCTTCTTTCAGTTGTTGCATGGACTTATCAGCCAATTCTGTGTAATTCAAAAATTCAGTACTAGTGACGTTGAAAATGCGTTCATTCACTTTCAGAAGGAGATGTTTTTGGATAATTTCATTCAGTTCGCTTATCTGGCATAGATATAAGAAAAGCTTCCAGAGAGTACCTGTGTCGACGCAAGCAGCGTACGTGGATAGGTATTTTGCAAAGTAACGTTCATAACGACCCAAAAGGCTAAGAAAATCGCCAGCATGAATCATTTTATAATGCTTATTCTCTGACTCCCTTCTAAAAATAGGGAGAAAATGATCTAGGAATTCGTCAAACTTCAAATCTAATGATTTGAGGTGCTCACACACTACCGACAGTGACGATTCATCAGACTTTGTGACTGGAGGAAGCCGTGAAATAAGTTCCACGAAACCAGGCACATCTAATGGGAAATCTTTGAATTCCAAAGTAAAATTAGCATACTGCATAATAAGATTTAAGGAAATCTCACAATGCTTAACACCATCGATAATAGTTTTCCACTGCAAACGTTTATCAGGATCGATTAATAAAGAGGCTTGCAATGATAGTTTGCAAAAACAAAGAAAAGAATCTAAGTTATTTCCATTAACTGTTGTTATTTCCAAACGATAAGTATCGATCTTCATCCTTTTCAATAGGTCTTTGTCAGTTGTACATAAATTTGGTTTTGAGCCCTTTGTATCCAAGAAAGTTTTTGACGCATTTAAAATGATTTCATCATGAAGTTGCTTTACACTATTCTTTAAGTTACTGTAGAGCTTCGGCTTGATGATATCTAAATATTCTTGGATCCGTGAGTACACATAAAGATATGCATCAATTCTTTCGCCGAACTTATCGCATTCTACTGTTGACTTGAAACTCTCGTTGAAACATTGAGTTATGAAGTCAACATCGTTGGAAAATGCGTTATTTGGATGTTGGTCGTTTTCTTGATCGAAAGCAATGAAACACGCAAAAACGCAGTCAAAAAATGGTTGCCCAACAGTTTTTTCATCGTCAAAGATATTGCCGATACGTTTTGCTGCAGCTGTCAATTTTTCTCCGCCAGTAAAAAAGCCGAGTACCTTATTCAGCAGTCCCATTCCAGATGATGTATTTGAAAAAAGTCTGAAGTATCTAGAATTCGTTAGAGAAAAAAGTTCACTAGATAATCATTGAATTCGAGATAAAGAAAAAAATCGTTTTTTTAGTTGTATGCTATCAACGATATCAACTAATAACTATTGTACCCACAATACCAGCAGTCGCCGAACTCTGTGAGTTCTGAACTCTTGAGGATTTCTAAACTCAAATATTAATAGAAAAAGGCACTAATTACTATCACACCAAAGTAAATTCAAGAAGGTAAAGGAACTTAAGGAATCGAAGCAGCCCAGGAACTAACTTCTAATAAGTTTTTTCTTCTAACTACACAACCTATGATTTGAGTCCTCAGTCTTTGTGACTCGATGCTTTCTATTAGCTTTTATTGGACTGATTTTATTTCTAACATGTTCGGAAGATATCCATAGTTGGCATAGTAGTACTAATGAACATAAATGCGAAACAAATTACCCTAAGATAGTTGAAACAATCAGATGATGTGTTTTGTGTGTGTGTGTGCATATATTCCCACGCTCACTCTCAGTCAGGTCATATACCACTCCGTATGTACGCTTGTGTTTCCGCCCTCATCATCACGCTCACCCATTTTCATCTTTAACTGAGGGTGAGGGCGGAAACACAAGCATACATACAAAGTGGTATATAACCTGACTGAGAGCTAATAGAAAGCATCGAGTCGCAAAGAGTAAGGATTCATATCATAGCAGGGATGTAAGAGTACCAATACCATTTGGTATTGGTGGTATTAGTATGCTATTGCTATTGCTAGTTTGTTCAGTTAAACCAAACTGGAGGACTTCCTAAAACTAATTATAGATTCGGATTCGTTGACCTCAAAAGCATTAGAAAAATATGTACTTTTGCCGCGCTGCATCAAATTAGTTGAAACTAAGGCGATATATGCAGAATTTCACGGGGAATCGGGCAGCGAGCTTTTTATAATTATGCTGTGAGTTTCTGATAGGGTCGCCACGGTCTTTGCGATTTCCTGTAGTAAATTTATGCATTTTTTTTGTTCGGTTACTTTTTTTCTTTTTCTCTCTCCTTGCTTTTCTCCTTTCCACGCACACATTTTTGTCGTGTTTTGTCTTTTATATAGGCGATACATAAGAACGTCGAAGAAACCGATAGAACAAATTTTATTCTAAATTTAGTTTCTTTTATTTAAACGCCTAAAAGTTCAAGTCAAGCAGAAACAGTGATGAACTTAAGTTTTTACATGAAAATATCATTGTCATATTTTATACTTTTCTCTAAGAAATATAAATGCTCGTACATGTTTTGTGGCGATTGATGATCACCTTTTTGACGGTATGTGTAAGGTTCTAGCTTGTAACACTGTCCAACCTGTATAGTCAGGGGCGTCTATCCTGTGAGATTTTGTAGAGATCTGAGCGCGCTATTTTTCAGGAACAAAATTTGCTCTATTAATTATAACGGAGACAAGAAAATTTCAAAACCAAGTTAGGCTTCCCCTAACTTGTTCGAATCTTCACTTGTGTGTACAAATGGTTTATTCAAAAGAGCCTCGTTTAGTGTGTACGAACATACAGTATATATAGATGAAGAAAGAATGCTTACTCAACAAGAACTGAGTCAACATTCCTTGTAGCCATGAGAAATGAAAACAAAAGCAGAAAGAGAAAGGAATGTTAGTGACGGCAGTGAAGACTGACATAATAAATACTAACACTATAAGTATTTATAGCCCACCCGTTATCATCATTCAGGCATGGTACGAGTCCTCGGAGTCATTGATCTTTAGATTGAGAACGTTCAACATAAATGGAAACATAACTTGCTGTGTTCCAACATAGAGCAGCGCGAATGAAATAACCTCTGAAGATTCCAGGTCGATTCCATCAATTTTGAGGGAAATATGATCTCACGACCCACACCAGCTACAAGCATGGGTTTTGTGATGCCTTTTCTATAGATCGATCTCACCCACGGCCATTGCCACTTTTAGGAACTGAAAAACGCAGATGTTTATCTCTTTTCATTCAGATTTTATTCAAAAAACGTCCAACCACATTCTTTTAAAAGACGGATAGCAGATACACGCAGATCATAAATAGTAAAACGGGTAAGGATTAACTGATGTAAATATGTTCACAGTTCTAAATTTTTTTCAGCGCTTCACTTTCGCTCGCAGAGGTCTTGGTATACCGCATGTACCATCGGCGCAACATGAACTTGGACCGGGACTTGATTGAGCAATGCATCCAATAGCATTCATATTACATTCATTACATGTAAAACTCGCAAACGGTGACCACCAACTTGATTGTGTACAACCATTCATACCATAGCAGATATCATGGGTATCACAACATGCACCATTTTCACCGCAACTATCAATTAAGGCATCACAACCAAAGTTATCTCGTCGTTGAATTGATAAAGCTCGTTTCAAAAGAGAAAGCTCAGCGCGATCATGTACACGTGAAACAAGTACTGACGCTGATTGAACAGAATCAAAATATAAGACTACATGAACAGACATTAAAATAATTGTTATCAAAAACTTGTTCATTTAATCACTAGAAAAAAGCGAAAAATTTGAGTATTTCTGTTGAGAGACTGCTAAGATTTGCATCACTTTTGCCGTGAAAGTTGAAACCTTTTCGAATCAAACAGCTTATAAATAGGATTAACAAGTCGCTGATCAAAAAGATTACAGTTTACACTCTAGAGAATGAGTGGGTTGATTAATAGTCAGATATTTATTTAAAAAGTAGATTCAACATTCAAATTTTTCATGCAGTATATAGCAAAAAAGGCAGGAATTTTTCAGGCAATGGCTCTATCGTTCAAAGAAAAGCTTCAGCTCAGGCGATGAAAATATGCTGAAACCCTGTCTAGGTGCCATTGCACGAGAAAGACGACTGTTTCTCACAGAAGCGTGCTCAGTGACTATTTCAGATTTTTTTCTAAGTAGTTTCATCTTGCAGAGCATGTTCGAAAATCTTCAAATCCAAATTTGTAGGCCTCCCGAACTTTTCGTGCTGTACACGGGGAAAAAAACCTGTAAGAAATTTATAACCATCGAAAGAAAACTGTGCAGAAGAACCATGAAGCAAAAAAACTACATTATGACAGCCGTAAAATGCAAAACTATGAAAGAAAAACTATGTAAGTAAAACCGTAAAGGTGAAAACCATAGAAACAAAACCGTCCAGTTTCGAACCATCGAAGAAAAACCCTAAAATAAAACCGTCAGTTTAAGTACAATTAAAACCATGAAAAAATGTCGTAAAGGTCAAAACTGCAGAAATAAAATCATGAACTGATAGTTTGTCAAAGGAATAAAAGGGAGGAAAACCGTGAAAGCGTTTTCATGCTTTTTAGTTGACGGTTTTATTGAAGCTTCAAAATTAAGTCATGTACAGTTTCTGTCGTTAGACCGTCAAAAAGTCGTCCTAATCAACTAACATAAGTTTAATATGGCCAGTTTTAGGCTTTTCGACAAATATATTTCACCTCCAGGCTATCCATCACGCTTTTTCACCGGAATATTTTGGTAGTTCTCACCAGCCCTTATAGCTATTCGTAAATCGACTGCAGTCCAATAACCAAACACTTGGTTTTCTAGCGTTCAGGTTTTCCAAAAACCCTGTTATCAAGTTTCCTCATAAAATGCCGATATGCACCTCATCTGATAGAAAAACCGTCGGGCTATTCAAAACAGTATTCAGATTGGTTCCAGCTTTTGCTGAAAAATCAAAAACAAAGAAGTTCTTATGATTATGACACTGTGCTGCATATATAACACCCAAACGCTTCTTTTGCATATCTTTAATGACTGGCCAGATCAGTGTGTAGAGAATTCTACGGGCTATCCAATGGCATTCTTTCGAAAAATATATAGTTTTTCGTTAAGACTGAAAAAACCTTCGAAATGAGTATTTACGCCGACCGTTTACTTCGACTTTGATTGCAAAACTTTCTGTAACAACAAATTTACGTATCCCAACTTTTGACGGTGATCCAGATAGTACACTGGGAGTGCTATATACTGCAAGTAGTTCGACTTTAACGTAGGTTCATAATAACGAGATCGATCGCTCACAAAAGTGCTTCATGAAGCTCCGTTTCGGTCTTGCTGTAATGTGTGGCGTAAGAGGTATACTTAATTTTCGTATGTCGTTATAGGGCAGACATCACTACTACGTACCCTGGAAAAGTCACGGCTTCATCTCTTCTCGTTCACGAGAAAAAACGAAATGTACGTTTTTTCACGCGTATAACTTCTCGAACTTTAGTCCAGTCGAAAAAGTTTCATATCTACAGAACGAAAAGTTCGAGAAGTCTACAAGTTTGCCTTTGTAGATTTCCGAACATGCTCTACAAGATGAGACTACTTAGAAACAACTCTGAAATGATTGTTGAGCGCGGCTTATGTGTAATGGCTCCTAGACTGTGGACAGAACACTGTGCAACTTACCGTTTGCGTAATTCGGGACCTATAGTTTAACTATGCTGAATAGCAACTGAGTTTCATATTTATATACATATTGTAGTTATTAGATAAATAAAAAATAATATTGACATATATCTTCTAACTGTTATTTTATTGCCGCGTAACATTTGCATAATATAATTTATAAGATCTAAGTGAACTCAAGTAAAAGAAGAAGTATTCATGTAAGTTTATTATATAGTTTTGTTGATATTACCATAAGTTGGATATATATTATATGTTATATCAAATACTCAGCCTGGAACATTTTGCCAACTTATCTATGCAATAAACAATATATTATATAGCAGTAACAAATCTTTCTTTTACATGAATCCACTTAGATGCTATAAAAGTAAATCATTCAAATATTCGTCCCCATTAAAGCCCAAAATGCCCTTTTGAAGTCACCCCTTTTTCATGTTTAATGAATAGCTTATTGCGTCGAGCCTTTTCAGCATAGACTTATTGAGTTGTCAACATATCATGTTAGATGGCTTTTGGAAACCATTACATAAGCGAAAGTGATATTGCAGATGTTGTCGTCGCCGTACTAAAATACAAAACATCTAATTTCCAAAAAGGAACAAAATATGGAAGAATGGGTGGGGCGAAGCTGCTAAAATATGTGTGCTTCCAAATTTGTTAGTGGTGATTATGTAATCTATGACAATGCAAGTATAGTTTTTTATACCTTTTCAGATGAGTTATTTTTCTAAATAGTAGGGCATCGAGATTGATATCTCGTTGTTTTGTATTTTATTAAGGCGACGACAACATCTGCAATATCACTTTCGCTTATGAAATGGTTTCCAAAAGCCATCTAACATGATATGTTGACAACTCAATGAGTCTATACTGAAAAAGCTCGACGCCGCAATAAGCTATTCATTAAACATGAAAAAGAGGTGGGTTCAAAACTTCATGGTGATGAGAATCTTTCTTTTGGGTAAAACGATAAAATTTGTTCTTTTCTCCATTTCTTGCTTTATATCTGTGTCTCTATAGTATGTATAGAAAGAAGAAAACATCAAAGTTTCATCTAACTGAACTAGTGCGTGGATTTTATCGACATGAATGTTTCGTTATACAATTAAGAATATAACGGTAATGGACGAGTAGTTCATCAGTTGTTCATTAGTTGACACTGTTATTCATTGAATCAATAGCTGTTTCAAGAAGATACCGACTATGGATAATAGCAGCCTTTTAACCATTTGTATTTCTATCTTACATACATTATCTTTGACTACCATGGCCCGAAGAGAAAGCCGGAAAGGCATGGTAGTTCAGAAAGATCTTTGAAAACTCATTTGGCTTTATATTGACGTAGACACCTACTTTTTCATACGCTCAGCTGTGACAAGGGCAGCCTTATAACTCAAAAAGTAAACGGTACCTTTTTCTAAAAAATAGCATGGTATAGAGTACAAGTTGTGTACTACAAACTGCCAGAAAAGCTGAGGAAGGGTACCGTCAAATTTGTTAACTTTTTAATTCGGGAAGTAGCCAGAATAAACACTAATTCCATGGTAAAGGGAATATTTCTTTTTGATAAAACGATAAAATTTGTTCTTTTCTCCATTTCTTGCTTTATATCACTCTCTATAGTGTGCATAGAAAGAAAAAAAACATCCAGTCAAGTATAGTACAGAAAAGAATATATACATACATCGTCATTCTGTTATACGATATTTTTTTTCTCAGGCATGTTGAATAATACTGTTCTCAGTTTTGTTCCCAATCAAATTACCGGTGAATAAATTGCGACTTTTGACGGCTTCCCTAAGTTGATTCAAGTAAAAGAAAGATTTGTTACTGCTATATAATATATTGTTTATTGCATAGATAAGTTGGCAAAATGTTCCAGGCTGAGTATTTGATATAACATATAATATATATCCAACTTATGGTAATATCAACAAAACTATATAATAAACTTACATGAATACTTCTTCTTTTACTTGAGTTCGCTTAGATCTTATAAATTATATTATGCAAATGTTACGCGGCAATAAAATAACAGTTAGAAGATATATGTCAATACTATTTTTTATTTATCCAGTAACTATAGTATGTACGGTACCGCATCAGCTTTATACCACGACTTAATTTCAATTGAAATTCTTTTTACCACGCCTGAACATTTGGATAACCTTCGCATGAAGCTTCTGTAAAATAGTGTCACTTCAAATGATAATGTAATATCAGCAATTTTGTAATAGCAGAAATTTGATCTCCACTGACAATGTAATTATTTTTCTCCAAAGTATCATCCATAAAACTTAAACTTGAGTTTAACACATCGTTACCTTCTTTTCGTAATTCATCAAATGTTTATTGAGAAAAGCTTTTGATAGGACCGAAGACATTTGTGTTTATTAAACGAATTGATCCATGACGGTTCATGTAGGGGCAGTCTAACCGGCAAGCTAGACACAAGGTGTAACGGTTAAACTCCTACTAAGCAACATCTTAGGGAGCTACAGTCTTTATCAGGCTCATTTTTAGCTAACAAGATCCATGGCTAAAGCCATCGCTAAAAATCAAATGCCAGCTTAATCAACTAAGACGAATTCCAGACTGCAATTTTCTACGTTCTTGTCCACGGTTTTCTTCCACTGCATATATCTCTGAGTAAGTATCTTTGAAGAAAATCAAGGTCTTCGGTAAAACACAGGTTCTTACCGAACTCAATCTGCTCCTTAGCTCGCACGTATTGAACTAAGGTCTCATATAAGCCAAAAAGCAGAAAAAAATGCCAAGTTAAGCGTCGATAATTATTTGTGTCGGAAGTGAGTTTTCATATTTTCCCTAAAAGCTGTCTCTTATAAACTCTCACATCACTTTTTCATATCGACAAGTCTCGCAAAATACATAAATATTAAAATTGAGTAGATTGTGGAGTGGGAAATAGAAATTCAAGTAAGAAGTACAAAACTCCAACGAAATGCATCTTTTAGTGAAGTTAACTACTACACTGATTATCCCAATATCTGTCACAAATCCAAAATGAATGTCATTACTAGGAGAGAATTGACCAA